CAGGCCCACCGTTTTCCAGAACAGTGAGGAGGTAGTGCGACTTTTCTGCAGTTCAGGGAGTGTCTGTTCTCACTCTATTTTGCCGATCGTGTCTGCCGCTGCACTGCTGGCCACATCCTGGTTCTCTCCTCCCTTCCTGGCTGCAGTTCTTTTTTCATCAGACAGTATCAGAACTGTGCCCTCTGCTCTGGGCTTCTGCTGTTCCCGGACATGCTTCTAGATAGAGCATGGCCAGCGAGCCTGGAGCGGCCGGTAATGGGAGGCCTGCAAGGTGAGGCTTGGCTGGGTTTAGAACCCTTCCCTGCATGTGAGGGACAAGGCTGACTTCAGAGGGAGGGGGGGTGGCTATGAGTGGCACGTCGGTGACCGTGTTTTGTAGGTGGCAGCAAAACATGGACTTGAAGCGAGGCACCCGTTTTTTTTTTTTTAAGAGCGGGAGACTGTGGTGTGGGACGTGGCGAGCGATGGCAGGGAGGCAGTGCAGGAGTTAAGCGAGGGGCTCCGAGCTCCCCGCGAGGCCGCCTGGGGCAGGGAACCAGCACACTGCAGCCAGTCTGCCTCTCCTTGATCGGGGCCGCCTGTCCACCGAGTGGCCTCGAGATCCCTTGGGACAGAGGTCCTCATGACCAGTCCCTCATCCAGGGGGATGGTGACACAAGAAGCCTGGGAGATGGCCAGGGAATGCTGTGATTTCAAGGCCTGTTTATCTGGTCCCGACATCCAGTACTTTGCCTCCTGTAGTCTGGTCATGGCCTGGCTTTCCCTTAGGACAGTCTCTGTTCCTGGTGCGGCCCCGGGAAAAGTACACCAGCGTCACATCCCTTTCTGGGGGTGGGACACGTCTCTCACCTGACCTTGGTCTGAACCCAGGGAGGCAGAGAAGACTTGCCAGTGGGCCTCTTACAGTTGGGGGCGGGGCACGGGTCTGGGAAAGCGGGAGCCCCTCGGTGCTAGGCCTGGAGCTCTAGCAACTTGTGGGCCTGCGCCCACACTTCGATCATCCTGCAGGCACCCTTGCAAGAAAGCCAGAACCAGCCTCAGGAGAATGGAAGCAGAACTTTATTCTTCTTGGCTAGGGAAGAGAACTAGCGGGTGGTCGTGCATAGTACCCCCCCACCCCTCCCAGAACCAAAGAAGACAGGCGGAGCCACCAAAGGGCTACCTCTGCTCGCCTCTCTCCTTTGCCCATGTGGAGGCAGGTGAGTGCAACGCAGGGCTGGGGTGGCTGCAGTGATGGGGCGGCCAGGGCCGGCTGGGGCTCCGGGGCCAAGGAGACCAGGGGGGGCTGCTCAGGTTGGGGGGATGGGTGTGGGAGCACTTCTCATCCTGGGAGCTGCCAGCTGGCACAGGCACAGAGCTCAGGGTACCAGGACACGGTAGGGGCTGCCTGGGATGTGCTCGTCACCCCACTTGACCACCAGCGTGTACTCTCCCTTGTCCTTGAGCAGGTAAGAGACGCTGTAGAGCCGGCTGCCCACATGCTTCACCAGGATTTCCTCACACGGTGTCCGGGGGCCATGCACCCCTACCAGCAGCATGTTGTTGCCTGGTAGAGAAGGGGCCTCAGTTCCATACCCCAAGTCTCTCCCTCCTACTGAGAATCTCCCGAGCCCTCTTTCTGTCTTGGTATCCTGCCCCCACCACCCTGTTGTGTTCAGGGGTGACGGCCCTTCCTAAAGAGCTGCCAGCACAGGAGACCCAGATCCTCCCCAGGCAGCTTCCCGAAGGGTAGAAATGATGGCGGGGAGGCACAGATGGGAAGTGGCTTCAGAAGTGACAACCACGCCCTGGGGGCGCCTGATGGCTCGGTGGGTGAGGCGGCCCACTTCGGCTCAGGTCACGATCTCGCGGTTTGTGGGTTCGAGCCCTGCGTCGGGCTCTGTGCCGACAGCTCA